AGGCAATGTTAGTGGTGCTATGAATGTATATGGGTTTGGGTACTCCTTGTACCATAATAATAAAATTTTTGGCTTATCAAAAAAAAAAAAATAAAACCAAATATTGACAAATTAGTGAAAGAGAGAGATAGTGATATGAAGACTTTTCTTTCTTTCTTTTTTCCTTTTTCCTTTTTTTTTTATTCTTGTCATGTGCTCTGCTTCAGTTAATCTTTCTGCTTGGCACATGAGGTCAATCATACAATCATAGTGTTCTTTTGAAGGACTTATTTGGTACCCTTTGCTCATTGAATTGAAGCAGTGAATGTTAGAAATTTTTATGTGGGCTGCCACTAATTGTATTTGGTTTTCAAACATTGGGTCAAATGCAAAAGTCGGTAAAGCCCAATAAAGTAATATGATCCAAGTAGACTTAGGTTTTATCTCAGTTTTATATAGTGTAATACGAATAGGTGTAAAGCCTGAAAATAAAAGTGGACTACTTGATGGGAGTGCCCAAAAGATTATTATAATGGGTTAGGTCCCCTCTCTTATTCAGAAAATCCTACCTCTATAAATAGTAGAGTTATGGAGTGGCATAACTCATTGATTGCCACTATACAAAAATTAATTAGGGAGAAGAAGACCTAAATCCCAATACTAACTATATTTGTTTTGTAGGTTTTGTCACGAGATCCCAATTATGATTATTCTTGAAGATCTTTGAAAATTCTTAGGTAATATATTGATTATGGAGATTCAGATACGTAATTTATTAAATCTTGATATCCTAAATTCTACATATGTCGATTCTTAAAAATTTTAACATGTGGTATCAGAGTAAGTTATATGTAGATTTAGGATCCAAGTCTTTTATTTTTAATACGGTTTCCACGCTAATTCAAGGAACCGATTAAGATTTTTGATCTAGATATTATACGCTTAGCTTTTATAATTAAGATTAAAATAGAGGTTATGTAATTGAACAGTCAAGACTTTAGAAGATATAAAACATATCTGTAAATCCATTTGTATGAGTCAAGTTTTGTGTTTAGAGCCTTAATTGTGACTAATTTATAAAAGCTCAAGAAATTTACGTTAATATTAACGTGTTTTAATCGGATTTTATGTGTCTCTAATTAAATCTATTGATTTTGGAGATGGAGAGTCGTTTGTGGGTCAAGAAATTGCAGAAAACAGGTCATAAAATCCATTGCAGGTCTAAGATTTTGAGAAATTTTGATTTTCTTTTGTTTTAATCTCTTACTAATGAGCTATATAAATAGGTGTGTAACATCTCCTTAATAAATAAAATTGGGTTTTGGAATCCCAATTTGAATCAGAGCAAAAGAGTAGATCGGGGGGCGGAATCCCAATTTGTTAAGATCTCTAACTAAATAAATAAAGGGAAAGGTAAAACGTAGAAGGTAAGGGCCATGAGAAACTATTGTGGCAGGGATGATTAATGATTATGGGAAAACTGCTATTTGATCCCTTGGTAATTCTATTTAGTGCAAATATGTTACCAGTGGTCTAATAAAGTTACAAATTAATGTTTAGATATTAAGGGCTCGTTTAGTATAATGATTTTGGGTTAGCGGTTAACGGTTTAGGTTAAACCGCTAAATATAGGTGTTTGGTAAATTTATATATTTTGAAACCGCTACAAATAAAGTGTTTGGTAAAATTTTTATTTAGCGGTTTGAGACTAGCGGAAAACAGTTAAAATCCAAATCGCTAGCAGATTAAAAAAGTTAGTTTATATAACTTTTTATACCAAACTGCTAGCAATTAAACTTTTTAAATTTTATTGACAAATTTATCCATTTTAATTTTTTAATTTGTCGTCACATTTTTTAATTAATAATTATCTAATAAATTTCAATTTTGTTTTTTATGTTTAATAACATTAAGTGATTATGGCCCCGTTTGGTATAGCGGTTTTGGGGTAGCGGTTTTACCTAAACCGCTAAATATAGGTGTTTAGTAAATTTACATATTTCGAAACCGCTGTAAATAAAGTGTTTAGTAAAATTTTTATTTAGCGGTTTGAGACCAGCGGATAAAGGTTAGAGTCCAAACCACTGGCGAATTGAAAAATCTAGTTTATGTAACTTTTTGTACCGAACCGCTAACGGATTAAAATTTTTTAATTTTATTTACAAATTTATCCATTTTAATTTTTTAATTTGTGGTCACATTTTTTAATTAATAATTATCTAATAAATTGCAATTTTATTTTTTTACCTTTAATAACATTAAGTGATTATAATATTTTTTTGTACATTAATTTATAATTAAAAAATATATTATCTTCTATCAAAAATATATATATATATATTATCTTAAAAAACAAAATTTGTTAATTAGACAAAATGATTCATTTTTTATTTAAAAATAATATACTTTTAAAAAAAAATAAAAATGAGGGTGTAATTACATTATTATAATTAATTTTATTATTTTATTTTTTTTATTATTTTTA